CTTATATAATAGCACTATTGATTTTTATCTCAATGTTATTTTGTTATAAAAATAAATGAATTAAAAAAATTATTTATCAACTACATTAATATTATTATAAAATAAAAGATATTAAAGATGTTAAATATTATAATATAATTTAATTATAATAATAAAGTATTAAATAAATAATCAATAATAATATTATATAAAATTAATTTTATATAAAAAGTTGAATAAATAAATTTAACTAAATAAAAAAAAATAAGTAAATATTAATAAATAAAATAGATATTTAAAAATTAAAAATATAAGTAATTATATAAAAATTTATATATCTATTTTAATAATTTTATTATATTAAAAATAAATAAATAATTTTTTAAATAATAAATTAAATAATTTTTAAATATAATTTTAAATATTTAATTATATTATTTAATTATTATAATATTTTTTATTATCTTCTAAATTTATATTTTATATATATATATTTTTTATATATTATATATATTATATTGATATATAGTTCTATTATTTATTTGAATCTATATTAATAAAATATATAAAATTTTATTAATATTTCATATATAATATATTTAAATAATTTATTTATATTTTTTAAAATAAAAATATAATAAATATATTTAAAAATTTTAAATAAATTATGAAATTATTTTTTAAAATTAAATTATATTAAATAAAAGAATATTATTTTTAATTATAATAATCTTTAATCAATTGTATTTAAAAATTTATTATAAAATTCAGTATCAAGTCTTTTTTTTATAACCAATTCCTGTAGCAGTTTATTTAGGTTTATGAAAGGCATTTAGTTAATGTTAAGTTAGCTTATATGTCTATCAGTTATACAAACTTATCAGTTGGTGGGTAGTTGTTTACACTGATAAATCGCATCCATGACCTTCTGAGCAGCGGTATAGTCTACCTATACAATCAGTGCCCACAGAAGAAACCAACAATTAGGGGATGAAATCAGAACATATGAAAGGAACATTTTAATTTAATAAATATATGCTCCTAATTTACGTTCCATTAGTCGCATGGAGATATCATTAAAACATAAAGGGAAGAACCCTCCCGCATCTTTCTCATATCCATTTCATATTATCTTACCTAGCTTGCCGGAGCCTCACAACTTCAAAGTATTCTTTCTGAACCGGAGAAAGAACGTATCAGTTATAGGTATTCAGCAAAACCCTTGTGCTGCAACGTATGTATATGAATAATATCCACCAACCCCTCCTCCCTCCATCCCTCGGTATTTGCCACGCCTAGTTTAGCCGCGAAAAAGAGAGAAAGGAATGAAGCATGCACAGTGAACAAAAGGTACTATTCAAGAGAAACGCAAGAGTAGAAAGTGGAAAGAGGAAAAGTAATAGAACTAATAGAAGACGTATGATAATAAGTGATAAAGAGCAAATGAGTGACCGTGGAAACAGATGGAAAGAACGGAAAAGGAATCGAAAATAGCTAGAAAGTTAATTTAACCGCCATACTTCAGTTGCTTCTTAGTGATTGACAAAACCCAGGGTTTTTATTTTTCTTCTTTTTTTTTTCAGCAAAAAAAGACCTTGAACCGGAACTATATGTGGTTCACTAGACCCCGCCGGTCACTCGAGCTGTTATCACCGTCATGTCCATCTTCAGTGTCGCTATCATTGTGCATCATCTTCTCCATGAAAGTGATATAGTCATACTTGGGCACATCACGATCCTCTAAGAGATCCGGCCCGTTATGCTGCGGCATGGTTTGGAGGAGGTTATCAATAAGCTCCTCGGGAATGAGGGAGTGTCTAAGGTCCAATTCAGTGACGTATGGCTGCAGGAGTTGAGATAAGTAGTTAGCGACTGCGCAAAAATAAAAGCAAAGAAAACCGAGAAAAAGGAAAGGGGAAGACAAGTGTAACAATCCCTTCTGCTACCGGCTCCATTTAAACAAATAAGGAAAATACACACCTTCCCATCAGCCACCTCTTTGAAACTCTGGAAAACCTGTTCTGCCGTATTCTGGTCCTCCGTCACACTGACCATGAAGCGAATGAACTGCTCAAAACTGACTCCTGCATTTCGCTCAACCCTCGCTGGTCCACAAGTTGCCAAAAAAACCTCGTGCATCTCATCCTCGTCATAGACCAACCCCAAACTAGCCAATGCGGCAGAAAACTCAATCTCGTGCAGCGTATTGGACGAATCCCGATCAAAGTGTCGGAAAACAGATTCAAACTCTTCAAGCTGGATAGGGGTGAGGTTGGTCATGTTTCTTGCCACCGTCTGATTTTCCAAGAAGGCTAGCTTTTTGCTGACGCTTGACTTGACTAATCCGAGCTCGTAGGCGAGCTCATCATACGTATATGTAGTGAAGTCATTCTCTTCAATGTTAGCTTCTATACACCGCTCCTCCAATTCGGCAATGGTTTCCAGGAAAGCATCCAATGGAGGGAGGTTATTATTCAGGCGCTGGGCATGGGATAGCTGGTCCTCAACATCTCCTTCGAGTCCTGAGATGGCGAGTGATAATGTATTAAGTGTCAATGCGAAATCATTTGCCTTGTCAGCAAACGAGCGACGCAGGGCATTCTTAATATCGCGTATGGTTTCATTTATGAGCTGGCTGCGATCGCGCTCATTTTCCGTTAGAGTAACCCATTCCTGATCCAAAACTTCAAGTCTCAGCTCTGGAGGTGGCTCATAGGCCCGGAGACGGTACGTGCTAAGTTTCGTCTTAATGTTGCCGAGTAGAGCTGCAAGATCAGATTTCTCCCGCAACCCATTTCCTTTTCTGGTTCCTCTTATACGCACCGAACTTGGCTGCCTGCTCCTTGGCATCTGCGTATGTCCCTTCGAATGACGCCTCACGCCACTCAGCGCGTTGAGCTCTGATAGCCTGAAGAAGTTCTTTCATCCTGCGTTCGAAAGAATTCTGCATCTCCCATGCTCCCTGCATATTAATCACAAATTTCTCCACCCGTCGACCGGCATTTTCAACTCTCTCAAGCTGCGAAAACGCATGGAACCAGTATGCGATATATGTCATAAGTGATCGTTCATCTGGTTTCGCAACGTCGCAGACATCCTCCACATCAAGCAAATCCGGAATACCGATATGGTCCGACGCAATATCAAAGGCCATCTGCATGTTTCCCTTGTGATCGTTCTTATCCAGCGAATCATAATCTATCAGATCAGGTCGATGGATATCCAGCAGCGCACAGAAAGCCAAGCCATCGTTCCAGCTCGCGGAGAAATCTCTAACGTCCACCCCGGGATAACAAGCCGTCTTTCGTTGACACCACAATAACAGTCCCTCTTTAGCTGTCATCCCTTCCTCACTAATATCGCTAATCGTAAACCGCAGAATAAGCGTCCATATCAGCCCGAGAATAATCTTTCTGTTGCCATCAACTATATCCTCAGCACCGATGTTTGTCATCTGGATCCCCCGCCCCTTGACGTAGTCGAGACTCTTGTTGGCATTTTCGAACTTCTGAACTCGCAATTTGGGTTTCGATGCATATCGACCGAGTGATTCATTCCCCAGGATCTCAAGTATGTGAATGAGAATAACCTACGGCCCCGATCGTGAAACCAGAATGAGTATAAACAAATTTACTTTTCAAGGGTTCAAAAGAGAAGGAAGAACCAGAAAAAAAAAAGACTTGCAAACGAACCCCATCAGAAAGATCTTTGACCAAGTCGTCAATTGCCAGATTCCGAACTTGCAATTTGTTATTAAGCCTGCAGCACAACAATTATTAGCTGTCTCCAGATAATATATGTTGCTCCAAAAGGGGATAAACAGCAAGCCCGCACCAACCATTTTGTAAAAGTCTTCTGCTGGACCGTAATCCATTGTTTCTCCTCGGTCAACAACATCCCTCGGTTCGGGCTCTCAATGTCACTGCCACTGCCACTGCCACTACCAATGCCTGTCCTGGTGCGTGTACTGGTGCTGGTGCGAGATTGGTAGAAGTTTGAATCGGAATGCAAGGCACCATACAGACTTGTAGATCGTTTGAGAGAGTGATTATTGTAGTGGTGATTGTAACGGTGGTGCGTATGTGCTGGTGAGCTATTGTAGATAAGCTGGGCTTGATGTGAAATTGGCATATGTGAAGACAAGCCTCCGAGGTGGGTGGTGTGATTTATTTGGGTAGTGGTCCTGGGCTCTGGAGCTGTTTGTTTAGGGTTGTTTATTTAGTCAACACAAATCGTGGTCGTTGGCCTGTGGTTACGCTCTCATCAGGGAGTTCCAATGTGTTATAACTGAAGAGATATTGAAGAACATCGAGTCTACTGCGGTCACATACAAAAGAAGAAAAAAGAAAAAAAAAAAACCTGAGGGTGGAAGTGCATTCACAGATACCAAGTTTCTGATTGAACTTGGATGTGTCAACAACAATTGTATCAACGATTGGCAAAAAGTTTAAATAGGGAGATGTGATAATAGTGGGGCATTTAAATATCACTTTCTAAGATATTTAACCAGTAACCTACGCAGCACTAAAATATAATACTACACATCATATCATGTAGGGTTTTTTTTTTTTTTTTGCCATTTTATACTCCGCACATCATTGATTAATATACTGCTGAACCCCGCTGTGAAACACGTCACAACGTCTGCTGCCACAATGAACCAGTAACCGCACGGCATACAGCTGTTCAAGAAATCAATGAGACTGTGTCCAAACAACAAACGATTAAAAAAAAAAAAAAAATAAAAGGGAAAGGGAAAGGAAAAGCGCTGGACTGGGATGTTCTACGGTTACATTCCTGCCCCCGGCCAGGATCGAACTGGCGACCTTGAGATCACTCAGGCAGTTATTGCTACCTGATCAATTGTTGAATATGAGACTCACGTGATAACCAACTACACCACAGAGGCTTCTGACGATGGGAAGGTTGTATCGAGTGGGTGCATGATGCATCTCCAGAAAAATTCATTTGTTTCTTTTGGTTGGATCCCGCATCACTAGATAAATATCCATACTCCCATCTCACCCCCTCAAGGGCAAGATCTTCGATCCCAGCGCTTCCTGCCGACAAAGTGGACACTCTGGTTTCTCCCGCACCCAGTCCCGTATGCACGTCCAGCAGAACACATGCCCGCACGTTACTATGCTTGGATCTTTATAGGGGTCCAAACACAACGTGCATTTTCGCTGCTGGCCGGGTGGAACCCACGCGAGCGCTGCGTTAGTCGCGCTGGCTACATCATAGCGGGCCTCCCCCGCAGGCTGAGACTGGATGGATGATGGTGTGTATATGGATTTGAGAGGGGGTTTGTCATCGGAGGTTTGAGACTGTTGCTGGTCTGTTGCTGTTTCAGTGGTGAAAGAGGAAATAGTGTCCTTGACATAAACTACTCCCTGCACAGTGATTTGAAGAACGAGCAAGACGCCTAGTACCTCATAGCCGATTCTAGCTTCATTATCTTCAATTCGCTTGGTAAAGACATATCGGAGGCCCCAAATACGTTTGGATATGTGGTAATAAGATCCAGAGAAGTAGAAGGCGGTGAGGTTTAGAGCAAAGATCAGGGAGAGGGAGGTGAGAGAATCGAGGTGATCAAGGAAATAGTTTTGGAAGCGCAGAGCTAGACTTGGTGTGAGGGGTGCCCCTTGTTTGGAGGATGCCAGTGCAGCTTTTGCCTGAAGCCGTATAATGTTGTGTTGGAGTTTTCTCCGTAGCTTCTGACGGAGTATGGGGAGAAGGTGTTGCAGTGCCCAGGGAATTAGAATGCTGCTGAGGATATATCCAACCCGTCGGGCCAATGATGGTAGTTGTAATGAGTCATCTTCCAGTTGTACAACATCACAGTATTCTTCGCCCAGAGTTCGGTTTCCTACAAAGGTTGTCAGGGAAAGGTAGAGGAGATCGGTAAGATTCTTGATGGCATCTGTATGGGAGTGAGCAAATCTCGCACCGCGGATAGCGCGAATTATCGTGTGGGCTTGGGCAGAAAGGGTCCCAGAAATGTAGGCATCCTTCTCGTGGCTCCGTATAATATCCGGAGATGTGGCCCAAGGGAAGAAGTGCGAGACGGGGGCAGCGGACAGCTTTGGGTTTGTAGCTGGGGGCAGATCGGAGGCCATCTCTCTCTTAACGGGTAGTATATTTGGTACGAGAAAGGCGTGTATCACTTTTGCGTAGTGGGCTTTATTGTTTTAATTTGCAACTCAATGATATCGGAATTAATGTGTCATGGTCTCATTTCCATATAAATTCAATAAAACAGACGGCACCAACAAATTGAATATTCATGAAGTTGTCTCTTGAATGATTTTTGACGTTGACTTGGACCTCGGCTTGAGCTCCGGTCACGTGAATCCAGGTACTTGGGATGGTCTTGACTGGTTTGCTGATGCCAACCCTTCTGCACGTGATCTACATAAGTAGCTAGCCTCCCTCCTGAATGGAAGAACAACGCATGAACGAACGAACGCGATATTCGTCATCAGAGGATAACATTGTTGTATGTAGCTAACGTAACTCACCCCTACTTATCAAGGCTTTAATAGGATGCCCCTCTGCTTCACTACAAGTATCCCTTTTATCCTGCCGTCTTAAGCCGTGCTCTGAAGTATATTGTAGCGATGCAATCTACATACACCTGAAACCAATCAAAACTGATATTCAACAATTTAGGCTTCGAGTAATCTTACAGATGGACCACCTATAAATTCATGAGGAGAGGGTGATAGCAGAAAGCAGAAAACAAAACCATGTGCAGAAATGAAAAGGAAAGAAACAGACATCTCAACTTAATATGCGCCTGGCGGAAATTTTTCCAATGAAACCCGCATCCTCCTATTGCCATAAAATGAAGAAGAAATTTACCCCTTCACTTTGAATCCTTATATTTTGTTTTGACCCTTCCCTTGATAGCCATCACCACTCATCCCACATGCAACCCAGCCTACTCAATCATGTCAATGTCATTATCCATAGCCAGGGGAGCAGGATCAGCAGCAACAGCACCAGTTACGTTGCCATTGGCATTATTCGGCTGTGCACTAGTGGCCTTCCAGTAATCATCCATCTCCTGATCCAATTCCTCATGCGTTTTTCTAGGCCTTCTATTCTCTCCCTGTCGCCCTAAGCCCCCCGCCGGACTACCGCTTCGCTCCTGACTATCCCTGAACTCTCCAGGTCGACGAGAACCCCTACTCCGTCCACTATCACCCCTCCGCCTTGGCGATCGCTGGCCCGGAATATAGCGATCAATGTGTTCTGGTGGGGGCTTCGACACGTCGCTTCTGCGGGTTCGTCCACCACGGCCTGTGGTACCATCAAGTTCGTCGCTCTCTTCGGGACTGACACTACGGATATCTCTGGCGCGTGGCTTCTCAGTCCGGTCAAATAGGCTACCCTTTGGCTTTTCAGCGAAATCAAACGGATTACGTCCAGTTGGTCTCTCTGAGGAGCCGGAGGACATCAATGTGAGGGTGATCGGTTGCCCTTTAGCGTTCGCGCCGTCGAATTCACGGATGGCGGTTTGAGCATCAACTAATCGCTTATACGTGACGAATGCAACACCCTCTGAACGACCAGCGCGATCGTATAGGAGTGAAAGTGCACTGATAGGTCCGATTCGGGTAAAAAGATCCTTTAATTTTAAAAAAAACACTCGGTTAGTGGAGTTCTTCTTCTAGGGGTTGGAAGACGATTCAATAATATTAATACCTCGAGATCATCCTCTGTTAAATCGTAGTGGAGATTAGTGACTCGGATTTTGGCGCCGGTCTGGAATCTAAATGAAGATAAGTTTAGCGAATCTGCCACGGGTTTTTGGCTCGACGAATTGACGTGGGAGCGTACTGTTCGCGCTCGGGAGAATACCGATCGAGGCGAGGGGCTCTGCTGCCCCGGATGGAAGGACGAGCTGGAGGATGCGTGAGGAATCAATGCCATATATATGATAATTGAATAAACGCACTGTCTCTATCATCTTCAAATTTATCGTGGACCCAATCGCTATATCAAAATTTAGCAACACTTCCGAGAGGGACGCAAGGGATGAAAAATGAAAAAAAGTATCATACAGATCCAGATTTGCGCGTTCTGTCCGAAAAGGCTGTTGTTCAAGAAGAAGATGGGAGGTCAGCTGAAGGTCAAATAGATGTTGCTAGTACCCGATGGCTTTGGGAAGAGGGCGAGCAAGCCGCGAGCCCGTCTAAGGGCCACTGGCCCTGGTTTGCCATTACGGTACGGCTATGGATGCGAGAGGAGGAAGAGGAGGAGGACCTAAACTCAAAGCTCGTTAATAATCCGTTATTCTTGTAGGTATTGGAGGGGACAAACTGTTTACCTTCTTGACACCTTCTCGTGGCGCATTTTCCCGTCGAAGCCGGTAGCGCTGTCGTCCACGGTTTGACAATTTCTATATATAGTGGTGGATAGTCAGCTATAAGGACCGGCATCGTCCATATCTCACAGGAATTGATTCTATGTTGAGTGCGCTAGTTTGAATAAACTCGTCCAGAACGACTTACGGTACGCTCTCCTATGATCTCATCCAAGCTTCGGTCCATAACTGGAGGAAGTGAGCGGGGGCAAGGGGACACGGAGAAGGGCCTGCAAAACAGGAACCGGTATTCCCGTAAGGGACTTCACAGTATAATTTGATTTGTATGAAATGTTATATACTGGACATGAGTGGTTTTGAGATGAGCTGATCAGGATGACTGTAAAGGGATGGCGATGTTGCAGATTGCCATAAAGCAAACAATCCATCAAGGCGGTCATGTACGGCAGAAAGTGCAGCTGATCAGCAACCGAGTGCTTATGAACTCTACCGGTCATGAACTTCATAATAGAGTATGTCCAATGAAAAGGAGATGCGAAGGAAAGGAAGAATTCAACGCGGAGAAATTTAAATTTTCTGGTTTTCTCCTAGCCTGTCACCTCAGTTATTAACTTGATGACTGCTACGAGGCATTCTTAATTTCTGTCAGATTCATTCCCATCTCGGTTGTACCACCACAGCACTTACTCTCATGTACGTCTAGAACTCGAGTCTCATTATTCACGAGGATCCCCCGATTAGGTCCGGAATCAGGAGTAAATTGTATCTGCTACAGTCCGTATTTATTCCGTCTGTGTTGTTCTACCGGCCCCGATTTCCCATTACACCGCGGACACGTTTCCAGGAAGTCAGAATATCTGTCAAAGAGGTCTCTCACAGCCTTGGTTGCTGTAACTAGGTCCCGATAGAATTTCGTAATAAATCCTTGGGGGTACTGTAACGACGGGTTCGGAGTTTCGGCACAGAAGTACATTCTTATTTGAAACCTTTCGTCGACGCAATATTCTCCTACGGAAAGTATTTGCGGAAGATGTTAACCCTTCAGGACCAAATATACACGCTGCAAACTCATGAAGATTTCGCCCGATTTCGAAAAGCAATTCGGGCAACGATTCGGCCGCTAAATCTGATGCCTGGCTGTCAACGGCTCTTTCCATCAGGGGATGTGGGTAAGAATTTCTGATTTTGATAAAAGAATTGCTTCCATCGTTATGCGTCATGGCATTGCAACGTAACTTGCCATTCAATCTCAGAGAGCTTTTCGGGATAGCGATATCTTCGCTAAAGTGCCTAATATGCAAAATGTGCAAAATGCGCAATGAGCTCTTCGAGAACGATGGAGCAGTCGCAGGTTTCATATGGAGAGAGTTTCGGTGTTAGCAACTTACATTTTGATAGCCAATGTTTAATATGCTGGAATACGGTACCAAGTCCTCTAAATTGCAGCAAAGGCAAGACATTCCAAATCAAATTCCACAAAGGCAGTATCATCGAGGCTTTCGCCAATGCCGACGGTATCACAGTTTCGGTTGAACAGGACAGTCGCGTCAGGCCCCGTGTTGTAAGGTATTTCACGCAAGCCTTTTTGATACTGAGCAAACTTCTTGACAGTCGGTTTGTGGCATAGCACAGCACGCCAAACATCGAAACGCTTTTGTATTGAGATTCGTGGAAACGAAAGGTTCCTCAAGACCGTCAAATGACTCCATCAACTCCGGAACCGCAGCTTCCCTGATAGGCTCTTATTTGGTCGTGAAATTGATATTAAGCGTTTTGAGATTCATCCGTCTTTTGGAGTCAAAAGCATGCCACAAAAATCGATCCCAGCCCTGACCAAGGAATAAGTTCAACGTATAAAGCAGAGCATAGTCAAAATACCTCTTCCACAGGCCTGAGGAAAATCCCGGCCAAAGAAAGCATTCGCAATGCAGGAAAGGCTTTAACAAACACCAGGAGGAATTCCTAGGCACTTTTCTGGGAAGGAATTGTTTGCGTCCTGAACGAAATCTTCGTCCTCAATTTCGGGTATATAGTCAAGCAAATCCAGGTCAAGCCCCTGAAGTTGATGGAACGATGGCTGAATTGCATTGCCTAGACTCATGAAATCATCATCTGATCTTGGGCACTTCCAGGAAATCTTTTTTCAGGCGTCTGAATAACGACAAGTCGATCGGATAGACTCCATATGGGCAAACCAGTGAGTGATGCGAATCGAACTGGATTGACGCAATTTTATTTTGTTAAAGTGTAAAATAGTCAGTTGGACCCAAGTTAAACTCTGGCATGCAGTTGCCGACCTCCAAACTTGAACGTGAAAACTAGTGTTAGTCCAGAAGCAATATGTATAAAAGAGGAGGGTTTATCTCACCTGAGGGTCCGAAGATTATTGTCTTTGACCAATTCTAGCACACGAATCAAGGTATTGTTGAACTCTTTTTCCTCAAAAAAAATCGACGGTACAGTGGGAACCGTTATCGGAAGTTTCATACACACCATAGCCATCTCCAATCCGAAAACAGCACCCCAATAATCGAAATCAAATTTTAAGCAGTCGTATGCCCATGTTATGGAAGTGATGGCAGCGATTTCTGATGTTCACTGGGAAAGGAGATGTACGTTGTAGAGTTCTGGTATATTGGAGATCGGTTTTCCGCTGGAGAGCCACAAGTGCTGACATTGCCCAATCCACGTTGAAAGCCAGGTATTCTTATAGGAGTAGAACAGCAATGTTGTATACACATCCATCAAAACTTCGCAAAGTTTCTTCAAGCCGCATGTGCCTGACAGCTAATCCCAATCAGACTGGCTATTTGAAAATAACTGTCTCACAATTCAGAGCAAAACAGCCAGTGAGCTTGAATATTTCAACCACTAGTTTGTAGCTAACTGGAATATAGTTCTCGAAATCGAGGCAACGAAGAGTGAAATCTTAGAGAAGATTACACTCTAAGCGCCTCCCTAGGAGAACTGTTCTTAAACTCAGGAAGAGAAAACAAGTTCTGTAAAGCACCGCACAAGATCACCAGGATTTATGGCAAGGACGTTAGAAAAGGAGAAAGTAACAGGTTAAAGGTAAATGTCGTTCCTATGGGGACATTGTGTTTGCTAGATGGAAAGGTGGAAATAAAGTGAGAACAATAAGGGGTAAGTTGAGGTTGGAGAGGAAACCTGAGT